ATTTGGGACAAATAGCATAGTAAAATTAGATTCGGAACAGCAACAGAAAAAAAAAATTATAAACCAAAATTATAGAACACCACCAACCACACTGACAACACCAAGAGTTGAAATACAAAGTCAAAAAATTATCTATTCAGTAAAATTATTAGAGTTTACAAAAGTACATAAATACAAACCACCAATTCTAATCAACACTTTGAAACCTACGGACGTTTTGAATTCTGAAGCAGCATGATAGAATTGGATTTAGGATAAGTAGCGCAGTATAATTAGATTTAGGATAAGTAGCATGATAGAATTAAATTCAGGACGGGTAGTATGGTAGAGTTAGATTTGGAATAGGTAATATGGTAGAGTTAGATTCGGGACAGGTAGCTCAGTAGAGTTAAATTTGAAACAGAGACAGATAGCATGGTAGAGTTAGACTCGGAACAGGTAGCACAGTAAAGTTAGAGTTGGGACAAGTAGCGTGGTAGACAGTATATAGTTAGATTCAGAATATAGTATGATAGGATAACATAATAAATAAATAAATTATAAAATAAATAATGTACTTCCAATATTTATTGAATTTTTTAATGTTTCAGTTAGTATATTTTATTATATATATAATATTTCATATTTATTTACATAATGTGCAAAACCATAATATATCACAAATATTATTAATAACGAATATCTGCCAACCTAATCATAATTTCTAAGACCCACATAACTATTTTAATATTACTCTAATTCTTACACTAATTCTGCGATACTATCTAACTTAACCTCCAGCCAGACTAGTAATGTGGTAGAATCGTTCAAATGATTGCTTAAACTAGACCCATATAATTATCTAATTATGATCTTAATTGTCACTAAGCCCGCTTTATATTTTAATTCTATTCTAACCCTTATCCTAAATCTATTTATAACCTAATTTAAAATTCTAACGTCTCAAATCTAACTATATATATATTGTGCTATACATGAATCTAACTATCATGCTATGTCCCGAATTTATCTACATGCTATGTTCTGAATCTAACTATCGTGTTATATCTCCGAATCTAGCTATCATGCTATTATATATTCTGAATATAACTTCTCTATCGTGATATGTCTTAAATCTAATTATTGTTGCTATACCCGAATCTAACTATCATGCTATACCCGAATCTAACTATTGTATTATATTCGAATCTACATTGTGCTATGTCTAAATTTAACTATCATACTATACCTGAATTAAAATATCATGCTATATACAAATCTAACTATCGTGCTATATCTAAATCTAACTATTATACTATACTGTATACTACATTTCGAATCTATCATACAGTACTATGTCTACTTTCATGCCATATCCCATTCTAACTATCATACTACGTCCCATTATAATTATCATACTACATTCTATTCTAACTATTATGCTATATCTTATTCTAACTATCATGTTATACCTATCATGTTTGCTATATCCGTTCTTACTATTCTATTATGTTCATTCTTTCTATTGCGCTGTATTCATTCTTACTATCATGCTATTGTATAAAAAATAAATAAATAACGAGTTATTTAAATCTGTTATATTAATAAAATGTTACAAAAAAAAAAACTTATGGAATGAATTCCAAAAATATAACAAGCTTAGGTAATTTGTACGATTTTTGAGTCAAATTATGCCTCACATCAGGGACGTGGAGATTCTGTGATTTACGGGAAGATTATTTGATATATAGATATAAATACGTATTAAAACCAGAAGTGGCTTTTCACCCATGTAAATTATTTTACCTTGATTAATTAAAGTAGTGGAATCTGCTAATTTTTGTAAATCTGATAAAATATGGCTGGAAATTTAAACCATGCCACCTCGTTTTCATACTTGTTCTAATTGTTTAGTAAAATGCCATGATAAGAGAGGTAATTTTTGAAAATTAAGCAAATAACCTACGCTATTAAGGTTTGTATTTTTTAAAAAAATGAACTCTAGACAACTTTGTGAACTTTCTAACTCACCTCAGATTATCTCGTGCTGGATTTGGTTTAATGGCTGTGAACCTGAACCTAACTGGATTGCTTTTAGCATATTCTTGCTCTGACTTTCATCAACTTGAATTAAAATACTATCCATTAGTTAAATAGATGAATACAGTTGGTTATAATTATCAACATGGTATTAGAATTGACAAAAAGAAAGTTAAATTGTCACTTATATACCTTTCATAATTGTATTATAATAGTCATATTAATCTTATCTTAGTATAGTATTAAAGTGGCTAAAGTTTTCCTTTTTGCTCTACTAATATGAAGTTTACTTAGTTTGGCAGTGTCACAAAACTTTACTGAAATTAGTCAATAATACTTAAATTTTTTCCAATTTTAAAAGCTTATTACCTCATTTGTTGCCTAAATTTACCTAAATTTGCTCTCTAAGTAAAGTCTTTAGTGATAATGATCTATACTGATCTTTTTTCACTAGAGACGTATAAAGAGGTAAAAAATACTTTAAGACAGGTTAAAAAAAAAATTATTATGTAAAACCACAGGTTGCTAATTGATGATATAGTTTTTCATAGTAAGGGTTACTTTAAAAATTTTTATTTATGTTGTGTAACTCAGAGATCTACAAGCCAATCAAATCGAATATCCACCATGCTATTATATTATATTTGATATATTATAATACAACTAGCCAACCCAATATACTGACTATAAATCTTTACACTCTTAACCTTATATAATTTTAATAATTTTAACTTGGCTTTTCTATTCTAAAAGTAATTTCTTTCTAAACATGAAAAACTGAATAACCCATAATATTAATATCTACAAACAAAATGCAAGCCTTAAACTAAAAAATCTCAAAATAAATAGAATAAATATAGCGCACCTTCTTTATCTTTCATATATATTTTCTTATATAAAAATTGACTAAGCTATTTACTAATATTTGGTATTAACTATACAATATGCAAATTTTTAGCGTTAAGTCATACTCTGTGAAATGTTAAATATAAAATTCGAAAAATTACTAATTATTGCTTGGCAACGAATTTTTAATGTAATTTTAAGCTTTGTATAACAGAGACGTCTAGAATTATCTGATCGATAATCCTATACTATAAAAGATGTGATTGACATTGTCCAAATATAGAAAAATCCCTGACTGTAATAGCATGTCAAACTGTATTCACATTCTAAATCTTATATGTAATGTTTCAACGTTTTTTTTTTGACCTTAGAACTTACATATAGTTAATGTTACTAGTACTTGCAATAAATCATAAGAATATTTGCTTTTAAGTGAAGTTTTTGGTTTGTAAATTATGGGGTTATCATTATTTTTACTTCAGTACTTTAGTACTTACGGTAATTTTGTAATTCTGTAAAAGTTACTTTTACATTGTGAATGTGTAACAGAGATTCTAGAATCATCTAATCGGTTACTCTATACTATAAATAGTGTAATTGACACTACTCAAATATGAAAAATTCCCTGACTATATTTTACCACGTGACAATTAGTATTATATGATTACAATGCCAATTACTAAGTCAGGGATTTTACATTTGGACAGTGTCAATCACTCCTTTTATGGTATAAATATGTAGATTAGACACTTCTAGTCATTTTCTATTACATCTAAATGATATTACATCACATACTAATTAGCCAATCAGATTACAGTTTTAAAATTAAAAAAATTCATCATATTGTAATAATATAGAACATGAATACTTATTAATAAAAAATTATTTAAAATTTTGAAACCATATAGAAATTTATATCACAGATATTTTTATTTAGTTATTAAGACCAACTTACTTAATTTAAAATTTTGCTATAATTATTTTTTTAAAATTTACAAATACAAAATTATTTTGCCAACTACTAAACAAAATTAGATGATTTTTATACTATTCAATTCATCTTATCAAGACAAATTGAATGGTATAAACTTCATTCAATTATAATTAATAAAACCCAAAATATTGCCAATAATCTAAATCACTATTTTACTAAAAATGACTAATCAAATTGAATACAAAAATAGAATCTTATTCAATTATATGATAGTAAAATACGTTTCAAATTATATTTCGGTTTATTTCTTAGTTTTAGTATCTAAAAAAATAGAAAATATATTAAAATTAGTATAGAAAAAATAGTAAAAAAAAACTTTCATTATTAAATCTATTTGTTAAACTGTTTTAATTAATAGTATGCCAAATTTAATAAAAAAAATCAACTCCAAACCATGACATATAACAGTTGCAAGTATAAAATCTCAATCAAAATGTAGGATATTGCAAGAACATCTCAATTGCTGAGCTAAAGAAAAAAAAAGCAAAATTCCAATTAACCTTAAATAAATAGATAAAATTTTGATAATTATTTTAGTTTTCATCTATTTTACTAAAAATAAAAGATTATTTAGAATTATTTGGGATTATGAAGCTATAAGGTTTTTAGATTTTGTGTATAAGATTAGGGAAGTGTCATTTATCAGCTGATTTTTTGTAAATAGTAAAACTTACCCCTCCCTCAAATGATTATAATTATATATAAACATATATACATGCGATCTAGTGGCATGATATTTTGGTACCCACCTCTGCTAAAGAAAATCAGATGATAAATGACACTTTCCTTATTAGTTGCAACAAGTAGTATGAAAAATTAAAAAAGCTCAGCCCAAAAACATAATTATAGACTAATTATCACTCAAAGATTTTTTGTAAAACATTCTAGAATCAGTATTCAAATTTGATAATATTCCTGTAACTAGATTTGCGTGATTAAAAATTTTAAAAATACAAATGTACAAAATTTTGTAACTTCATAACAAACATGTTTGTAATTTACATTTTTGGGATTTCTTATTGCCCAATCTAAATTTATAGTCAAATCCTGCAGTATTATAGAATTCTGTAATATTCTGCACTATTTTTTTAGATTTTTGTAGCATTCTACAATAATAAAGGTGATTTCTGTGATTAACTGTTTTAAGGGCTGTTTCTGTGATCACAGTAAATCATCAATCCTGCATATTTGTAATCAATTTGATATTTGATTTACATAATACAAACACTATAAATTACTTTTGTATTTTCACTGTTCATTACTATTATACTAAAAAAATCTTAATTAAACTTTACTTGGGAGTTTTAGAATTAATAACTTCGTATAATAATATTGGTTTATTAATGTCATGAAATATTGAAAATAAATCACTATTCATT